ATATAAAGGGGAGGAAAATATAGCTAGGATAGATGGGGGGAGGAAAAGGGAGAGGGGAACATGCACCCCACACATCCTTACCTAATGGCCACTTCCGCAACCCTAGCCACCGCCCTCCTTCTGTCACGCTAATGGAGGCCACAAAAAGAAGTGGCAGCCCCAGCGACACACAACACAGCAGCTGCCATGAGGTGACCGCGCTTGCCGCTTCCTGCACCTCAAAAATAATAAGACCTCCCTGATAATAAGGGCAAGCACTTATTTGGGGGGTCAAAAAAAAACAAGACCCTGTCTTATTTTCGGGGAAACACAATATATATATGCCACACACACAGATAAATTATGCAACAACTTAATTGGGTAAGTGAAAGATCTACCAGCTGCCTCTGCACAATATGTAATGCTTGGGTAGCATTACCCTTGGTTACTTTTGTCGTTTCGATTAGCATGTTGTGCAAAAGCAGCCCATTTTTGGCTTGTGCCTCGGTGTTCTGTGCTTATCTAGAAAATGGTCAAACATGGTAAGTCGAGCAAGTTTTGCAACTGCAGCCAAGGAATTTTGTACCAAACTTCAGTCAGGGGATGTCTTCAAGTAAACTAAAAAAAAGCTCTATTATTTAAGGCGTTAACAACGTCCTAATCTGGCCCAACTGAGCCTTATTCATTCTAGGTTCAAATACAACCAGGATGATTAGATAATTAGAAACAATTACCTGAAAGTATGATTCTTCCAGCGGCAGGTCTTCTAATTCTTCCGTCAGGTCAGGAATCAAGTTGGACTGATCTCGTTGGAAGAGAAAAAGCTCCCCATCTTCATCGCTATCAGCCTGTCACGTAAGAAGTAGAAACTGGATGAAATTTGTTAAAAGCAACAATAGAAAATGACATTGTGACAGCTGCCTATTGTTTCTTTCAGGGATATCATAATTCTCAGCATAACGTAACATAAACGTCTTCTAGTCCAACAGTCTACTCAACAGGAGACCATATAAGCCGAGTGTCCAACCTTGGCAACTTTTAAGAGCTGTGAATTTCATCTCCCAGAATTCCCCAGCCAGCCATGGGGAATTGTGGGCTTCAAAGTCCACAAGTCTTAAAAGTTGCTAATGTAGGACATTGTTGCCGTATAGCATTCCAGACAAATGGCTATCTAGTCTCTTCTTGAAAACTTTCAAGGATGGAGCACCCACAATTTCTGGAGTTAAACCAGAATCTTAGCATCTATAGTATTTCACTAGAAAAGTGTCAGGGTTCCAAAAAACACCCCCAATGAAATAAAACTCCGAGGCTGGTATTTCCCCAAAGTTCCACTTTATTAGAAATGTCATGTTGGCACATCTGGGAAAACCGAATCTGAAAACTTCCAGGTTTTCCCACCCAGCTGAAAGTTCAAGAGCCTGCCCCAACACCCACAAGTCCATCCCATGGTCCAATCTTTTACTGCCACAAAGACAGATTCCTCCCATCCACATCCAGCCAGGTGCAGGAACAAAAGCGACCTTGACTTTCTGAGAAAGAATGTTATTATGGCTACACATCACCCAACTCGGTATAATCCCCCTTCCCATTTTCCCACAGTACAAAGTGTGTGGCAGGCCTGAAATCCAAAAAAGAAAAGATGGCTTGCAGGTCTGACAAAAGGACCTTTAAAAATAAAAGAGGACTGTACAAATCACAGCAAACAATAGTATAATTTAACATTAGATTTTTAAAAATCTGTTGAGGAATGTATGCTCCTGGGACAAAACATTATACTTAACTTTTACAATACATGGTCTCAACTTGAGTTTCTATGACTATCGTAGCCTGCCTTGCAGAGAAAGGCGGCTGCTTTATCAATGAATGAATGAATGAACTGGAAGGGACCTTGAAGGTCTTCTAGTCCAGCTCCCTGCTCAAGCAGGAGAACCTATACAATTTCAGGTAAGTGACTGACCAGTCTCTTCTTAGAAACATGTAATCCCCTTCACTTTTGTCTTGGAACGGGGAACACAATCTTGAAAAATGCTTCTGCAAAATGTTGAATGTTGAATGTTTATTTTATTTATATGCCGCCCTTTTCCCCGAAGGGGACTCAGGGCGGCTCACA